TGAATTTTAAGTTTTGATCAAGTTTTGAAGATGTTAATGGAGATAACTGAATTTTGAACTGTTTTGTGATTAAGTTTTTTAGCTATATTTGTTATCATATCATTCAAGTCTACAAACATACTAAGAAAATATACAGGAAAAATTACTTTACTCATGCCAATCTAAGAAAACAATCAGTATTTTATTCTTCTACACCCACTCACTAAATGGATTATTCTTATATTGCAACTGGTGCCAAAAAAGATGATAAAGAATAACACTATTCTTTTAGTTTGATCTGCATGGCATTAAAATTCATTTTAACATAAATAAGCAAATTAATCTGGAATTGAGAAATAAATTTCAGCAAAACTTTATTTTAGCAAAACTGTAACACTATTTGCTAATTTGTAAGAAACTAAAAGAACATTCAAAATGTTCAGCTTCAATGCAGCTAGATTATTGGGTTTTCCATTAGCTAATATCTGTTATAGAATCGAGAAACTCACAAATTTCAATAAAGAATCAGTGGTATTTTTAAGTTCAACCTTAATTATCAGAGTCAAGGATTGGAAAACAAACAATTCAAAATACAAAGATTGGCATAAGGCCAAACAAAAAATGCTCCGTGTTCCAGTGAACATATAAAAAATAATTTATAGTGAGAACATTTAAAATCATTCATGTTTGTAAATCAATCAGATTTTAATTGAAGTCCAAAATGATTGCCATCTTCATTAAGATCTTAGCCCTTTGGTTTTGACAGCTTCTGTAATAAGGGAACATGGCATAAATCATGGAATAATTGTACCGAAAGTTTGCTTAATAAGTTCAAAATACACTTATAGGTTCAGGCCTAATTATGCTCAGTTTCAAAGGTTTTACAGTAGACTACAATGGAGAAATAAGCAATTGGGGAAGATGAATTAACAGTAAAGAAAGAGAAGGTACAAAGGCAATTAGAGAATGCCAGCTCCCAAGTCCAAAAGCCCAAGATAATACCCGCCTCCTTCACTAAACATAACACCTCCTCTTTATAATAGCCAACCCCCACTCCCATACACAAACAATCTAATTATTTATTAGTCCACTTTCCCCTTCTATTTTAGACTTTCTCATAACAGGTACTGCTATCCTTAAGATTAGGCTGTTGTCTTCCTTGAACTCTATCATCATTCCCCGCCTGAACTACCACCTTGTCCTCAAGGTGGGGAAATTGGAAAGCCTGACCAACATTTTTATCCTTGCGTCTCTTCCTTCCCAGTACATCCCTGCTTTCTGGACCTGGAGGTTCATGATTTGAACCTTTATCCTCACTTCTTCCACAGCAAGAAAAAGCAGAAGCAAAGGCCTGCTGCCATACTGCTCCAGGATGTTGTAGAGGTTAGAAACTCCCAGCAACTGCATCTCTTGTTGTAACCTTTGCTTGGGTTCTAACCTCTTTTCAATCGACTTGATCTCAATTTTGTCCAAATCAAAATTGAGAGAAAACCCTTTTCAACTTTTAACTGTGTTTTTAACATAAAATTCATTGGAAAACCCAGAACAAAATAGAGCAGGCTCAACAGACTGTGATCTGAAATCCTTGTCATAGTAACTCCTCGAGATATTCCCAAGGATCCCATCAGATTTGAAGCTTTTATACAAGCCGATGGAACAGTTGAAATGACAATTTCTGTATTCATCCGCTAACCTCTCCCACGTATATCTTTTCAAAAGGACAGATGTGTTTCTAAGATTCTTCGTAGTGAGCTTGATTCCTTCATAATCTGGGGAGGATAAAGCACAACCTGCTGCATTACAGAAAGCAGCAACTGCTTGCTTACGAACAATTTCTGATATCAAAGAGGTACTCTATCTTGGAGACATCAATTACAGTAGCCTGAATAGTAAAGTCCAGATCCACATTGATTCCACACCACTGGTATTCTGAAATAAATCTAGCAACATCACCATGAAGTCCATGGTTCTTAAATTTGAGTGCAGCACCAAACTCTTTTATTTCATAAACTTTTCCCAGTAGAATGCTACAAATAGCAAACTTCTCAGCCCATCTCATTCCAAGATTTGGGGAGTCCCATGGCAGAAGCTTGACATTCATGTATTTCTGAAAGGAAACACCCTTGAATAAATGAAACGTTAGTTGTAACGCATAATAATGATTGCTGCCAGGACATTGTTAGTCAACCAGATTCCTCATCAACATCAATTATGTTCATACGAACTAATTGTCTAACGTAGAATACTTCAGTGGTACTGAATCTCATGTCATCTGTAGCCTTGTTTCTGAGAGAAAATCCAGTCACACGCCCTCGATAGCAAACACACACCACTTTCAATTATGTTACACTTATACCCCCTGCACCACCGAGTAAAGGAAGAAGTCACTAACATCCATGGGAAAATTACTAATTCTAAGATCATTTAAATGAAAAATTAAGAAATGGGGGCCATTTACTCACTAATACCACTGCATCAACAACTCTCTCTTATTTCTGACTCACCCCAAGGTGTGGCATTTTTTAGGTCTGCCTTTAATTGAAGATGGCGCCCCACACATACATCTGGGAGGGTCTGCCTAAATCCATTGCACAATGACATCTGACTCAAACGAAAGGTTGATTTTATTTATATTTCTTATCACTCTAAAGTTGCATTACATATGAAATTCCTAATCACTGCATTACATATTATTTGGCAGATATGTGTGCTTTTGCCGCAATTGCAAGACATTTGGAGTACACGCTCCGGATCATGTATGCAATGGCTGACCCGCCAACATTGTTGCAGCATGGGTCATTGATCCTACACAGATACTGGGAAGATGTTCTGAGGCATAGAAATCCCGACAAAATTGGCCGTTAGCAGCCATGGGAATTGCTTGATCAGGCTATGTTCATCAATCAGAACGCAAACCATAGAACCGGGGCTATTTTGTGGAATGAGACATCACAGTGGATCAGAACTTGGCTCTGGGTGAAAAAAGATGAGAGCATGGAGGAGAACATCAATAAGTTGTTGCATCAAAGGATACCCGTCGTTGTCATCATAGGGATTAACTACTCCAAATATCCTATTTTTGGGGTAAAGCCCTACACTCTTTTAGACGAACATGGTAATGTACTAGCTTTCAATCAGGAGTATGTACCCGAGCCGGATGGAAGCGGGGATAGCCTTGTTACTCTGGCGCATGCTGTGGTATTGGTGGGCTGGTATCTTGCGGGAGATAACGACCCTCATCACCTTAGTCCGGGCAAATACTGGCTGTACCAAACCAGCATAGATGAAGTGCCGGTAATACCTCCGGGTGCGTCAACAATACCTGACAGTTTGTTTCCTAATAGGGTGAATATTCTTCACCCACGAGTGGTTCTTGAGGCGTATCACGCAGTGATTGAGCCTGTACCAGATGTACTCACACCTAGGAGAAATCAGGCTTTGGATCAAGGCAGCTGAATGGTATAAGAGCATCACCAATGGGCTGCTGTTGACATTAAAAATAACATCTTCTTCTCTCAGGCAGCCGCCTAGTGGTAAAAATAAACCCTCGGCTATTCTAAAAATATTACTCCGTATTTCCTTTGTCATATAAAGTTGACCCTCCAGAAAGAGCTAGATTTGAATACAGGCACACTCCTCTTTTCTTTTATCTTGAAAATATGTAGGTGGTTCACGCATGAACTTTAATAGGCTGTTAACATGTAGCATTTGACACCTTTTTTGAGTTTCACCGTCACGCCATACTTCTCTTAAATGATGTTGATGACTATTTCATTAATTGATTGCCATGTGTCATGTGTTAACAGTGGTCCGATGTTAAGCGTTTTGTGATAAGAAAAGTCGTCTCTCTCGGCGCACCAATTATTTGTCATGCCTGGACAATTATAACCTCTACCTTTTTTAATTAGCCGTCTCAATTCACCATCATACCCGGTCGGGTGGTTTGTCCAGGCATGACAAATAATTGGTGCGCCGAGAGAGACGGCTTTTCTTATCACAAAACGCTTAGAGCATCGGACCACTGTTAACACATGACACATGACAATCAATTAATGAAATAGTCATCCACATCATTTAAGAGAAGTAAGACGTGACGGTGAAACTCAAAAAAGGTGTCCAACGCTACATGTTAACAGCCTATTAGAAGTTCATGCGTGAACCACCTACATATTTTCAAGATAAAAGAAAAGAGGAGTGTGCCTGTATTCAAATCTAGCTCTTTCTGGAGGATCAACTTTATATGACAAAGGAAATACGGAGTAATATTTTTAGAATAGCCGAGGGTTTATTTTTACCACTAGGCGGCTGTCTGAGAGAAGAAGATGTTATTTTTAATGTCAACAGCAGCCCATTGGTGATGCTCTTATACCATTCAACTGCCTTGATCCAAAGCCTGATTTCTCCTAGGTGTGAGTACATCTGGTACAGGCTCGTGATACGCCTCAAGAACTACTCGTGGGTGAAGAATATTCACCCTATTAGGAAACAAACTGTCAGGTATTGTTGACGCACCCGGAGGTATTACCGGCACTTCATCTATGCTAGTTTGGTACAAGCAGTATTTGCCCGGACTAAGGTGATGAGGGTCGTTATCTCCCGCAAGATACCAGCCCACCAATACCACAGCATGCGCCAGAGTAACAAGTCTATCCCCACTTCCATCCGGCTCGGGTACATACTCCTGATTGAAAGCTAGTATATTACCATGTTCGTCCAAAAGAGTGTAAGGCTTTACCCCAAAAATAGGATATTTGGAGTAGTTAATCCCTATGACGACAAGGACGGGTATCCTTTGATGCAACAACTTATTGATGTTCTCCTCCATGCTCTCATCTTTTTTCACCCAGTGCCAAGTTCTGATCCACTGTGATGTCTCATTCCACAAAATAGCCCCGGTTCTATGTTTTGCGTTCTGATTGATGAACATAGCCTGATCAAGCAATTCCCATGGCTGCCAACGGCCAATTTTGTCGGGATTTCTATGCCTCAGAACATCTTCCCAGTATCTGTGTAGGATCAATGACCCATGCTGCAACAATGTTGGCGGGTCAGCCATTGCATACATGATCCGGAGCGTGTACTCCAAATGTCTTGCAACTGCTGCAAAAGCACACATATCTGCCAAATAATATGTAATGCAGTGATTAGAAATTTCATATGTAATGCAACTTTAGAGTGATAAGAAATATAAATAAAATCAACCTTTCGTTTGAGTCAGATGTCGTTGTGCAATGGATTTAGGCAGACCCTCCCAGATGTATGTGTTAGGTATTGGTCCGGTTCTTTCCCTAAGCCCGGTTCATTTGAGATTATCCTTGGCCCATGTCTTTATTCTTTCTTCCGCACCGCTTTCCTTGTGCGTCATTCTCTTCTGCTTCGTGTGAGCCTTCGGTTTCAACCTTTATGGTAAGTTACCATTTTTGAGTTTTGAGCTTAGCCTATTTAATCTCTCTTGTCCGCTTCAATTAGGGTGTGCCGAAACCCTTGCTTCTCTGATTTCCGCCTCTCTGTGGGTGCTCGGTTGAACTGGCCGGAAATAGCCTGCTGGCTGATGCCCTCTCTCCCCTTGTTGATCCTAGTGTGTGAAATTCATCCTTTATGGATGAAAGTGGTTGAGACCTGAGCTGGATTCTTCTCCTTACAGTGGTATCAGAGTCATTGGAGGTTTGTCGCCGCCACGCCGTCGCCTACCGTCGCCTCGCCGCCGTCTGGAGTCGCCTGCCACCGGTCCAGAAGAGTTCAAGCGCCGTCCAGAGCTTCTGCCGCCTCAGGAAAGCTGCTGCCAGCCTCGGTCCTGCTGCTGCCGCCTTCCAGGGAGTGCTGCCGCCGTCCAGTCCGCTGCTGCCGTGCTCTACAGCAGCCCACGCTGCCTACGGTAAGTCGGGTAACCCAACCTCGGGTCCCGCTCAGGTAAATTGGCGATAACCACCCTTGGTGTACCGGAGTGTCACCGGATTTATTTCCCCCCGCTCCGCCGCTGTAGACCTGCGTGGTCTTGGATGCCGGCTGTGCCCGGCCCCAGGTACGTTTACTAATCCTTTGTGTGATTATTTATTCGTAGTTCATTCTTTTTAAGTTCAAGTTTAAATTGCAATAACTTGTTTGTTTAAATTGTGATTACTTGTTGGTTTGTGATTAATTTTTTTCGGTGAAGAATATTTTGTTTGGATACTCGTTGTCCAAAATTGTGAATATTTCTTCCGGTTTAAATTTAATCACGTGTTGGATTTTTTATTTTGATTTTTTCTGTTGATTGATTCGTGGATAAACTCTCCGGTTAAGAATATTTGTTTGGATACTTGTTGTCCGAAATTGGGAATATTTCTGTCCGGACTAGTTTTAAATCCCGTTTCTTTGTTTGTTGATTTGCGTCATAACTTGTTTTCTGTCGCTGCTTTTGAGGGTAGTGGGCTTGAGGGTAAATGGGGAAATGGGTGCATGAAAGTTTTGAAAAATTCCCTTGTTTTGTTTAAGGCAAAAAGGTCAATAATTTGTATGTGTGCCATGCTCAGCCTTTCTGTGATTCTGCTCATGTTGTTAGTTCTGATAAAACTGCTTTGTGGCATAATAGATTAGGACACATGAGTAATAAGGGTTTAGAGATTTTGCATAAATCTGGTTGTTTTGGTAAGGATTATGTGTCCTCCATCCCTTTCTGTGAATCTTGTGTGTTAGGCAAGCAGCATAAGGTTACATTCCCCTCTTCCCCTTATCCTAATCCCACTAAGTGTACCTCTGTGTTAGAGTATGTTCATGCATATGTGTGGGGTCCTGCTAGTGTCTCTACCCACGGGGGTAAGAGATATTTTCTGTCCATTATCGATGATTTTTCTAGGAAGGTGTGGGTCCGTCTTCTTGAGCATAAGTCCGATGTCTTTGTGAAATTTAGGGAGTGGAAAACCCTTGTAGAAAATCAAACCGGTAAGATGGTCAAAACCCTTAGGACCGATAATGGATTAGAGTTTTGCAATAAGGATATGGACCAACTCTGTGTTGATTGTGGGATTAGAAGGCACAAAACTGTGCCCTATACTCCCCAACAAAATGGGATAGCCGAGAGAATGAATAGGACTGTTCTAGATAAGGTTAGGAGTATGCTTGCTACCTCCGGTTTGTCTAAAAAGTTTTGGGGTGAAGCGGTCAATACTGCTGTCTACTTGATTAACCGGTCTCCTTCTGTTCCCTTGAGTGGGAAATGCCCTGAATTTGTTTTTTCAAACAAGCCCCTTGATTTGTCTAATCTTATAGTGTTTGGGTGTGCTGCGTATGTGCATCAACAAGGTGACAAATTGGATACTAGGTCTAAGAAAGGAATCTTCTTAGGTTATCCTCAAGGTGTGAAGGGGTACAGGGTTTGGGATAGAAACCAGGTAGGTTTCAAGGTTGTGGTAAGTAGAAACGTTGTTTTCAATGAATCCGAGTTCCCTTGTCTGGTTAAGTCAGTTCCTGATTCTGAGTCAAGCCCTAGTAGTACATCATGATTCTTCTGAATTGCATGATTTTTCTGAATTGCATGATTCTTCTGAGCATGATAATACCACCACTTCGAGTGAGGTGGATCATTCTCATGTGCATTCAAATGACAATGAATCGCATGATGAGAGTGCTGATTCTAGTGATAATGATTTGCATGATTACCAACTTGTTAGAGATAGAAGTAGGAGAAAAATTAGGAGAACTGCTGATAGCATGCCTGATTTTGCTTTCCATGCGTGTGATACTTTTATGTTTGCTTTCTCTGTGTTTGAGACCCTTGAGCTTAACGAACCTAAAACCTATAGGGAGGCCCTTAAGTCTAATGAGTCCGCTAAATGGATTTGTGCCATGGAGAGTGAGATGGAGTCACTTAGAGCGAATAAGACTTGGACGTTAGTTCCTAGACCGCCCAATAGTTCCGTAGTTGAGTGTAAGTGGCTATTTAAGGTTAAGGAAGAGCCTAACGACATTAGATATAAGGCTAGGTTAGTAGCTAAGGATTTTACTCAAAAAGAAGGTGTTGATTATGCTGAAATCTTTGCTCCTGTTGTTAAATTCACTACGATTAGAATGATGCTTGCTCTTGTTGCTCATAATGATTGGGAAATGAAGCAAATGGACGTCATCACTGCTTTCTTGCATGGTGATTTAGACAAAAAAATCTATATGACCCAGCCTGAGGGCTTTGTGGATCCCATGAAGAGTAATCATGTGTGTTTGCTTAGGAAGGCCTTGTACGGCCTGAAGCAGTCCCCGAGGCAGTGGAATATCAAATTTGACCAGTGCATGTCATCTTTGAAATTTCACAAGTCCGAGTGCGACCATTGCCTATACTTTAAAAATACTTCTTCTGTGCCTGTATTTTTATTGCTTTATGTGGATGACATGTTGATTGTTAGTCCTTCGGGTGACGCCATTAAAGGTGTGCAAAAGCGTCTCAGTGAGAACTTTGCAATGAAAGACCTAGGTGATGCCAAGAGGATCCTAGGCATTAACATTGTTAGGGATAGGAGTAAGCGTGTGTTAGTACTCAATCAAATTTCATACATTGAAAAGATTTTGAGTAAATATAACATGCAATTCTGCTACTACCGTCTCTATTCCTATGGCGTCCCACTTTGTGTTAAGTAAGGATCAGTCCCCCAAGACTGCTTCTGAAATTGCTAAAATGAAATATGTGCCTTATTCCAATGCTATTGGGTCTGTGATGTACCTCATGGTGAGTACTAGACCCGACATTGCCTATGCTGTTAGTTGTTTGAGTAGGTATATGTCTAATCCTGGTTTGCCTCATTGGAATGCTCTTAAGTGGTTGCTTATGTACTTGAAATCTACTGTTAATCATGGGTTGGTTTTCACTAGGTGTTCTGAGGGTGTTAAGTTGAGTGGGTATGTGGACTCGAATTTTGCTAACGATAGAGACAATAGGAAATCCACTACCTCTTATGTGTTTACCCTTTGCGGGTCTTGCATTAGTTGGAAGTCTCAACTTCAACCCATATTTGCCCTTTCCACTACTGAGTCTGAGTATGTGGCCGCTACCGAAGCTTTCAAGGAAGCCATTTGGCTTAAACGTCTCCTAACGGAGATTGGTAGTCTTAATCAGGATATTTGTGTGTTTTCTGATAGTCAATCTGCTATTCAACTGTGCAAAAACCCTGTTTTTCATGATAGAACTAAGTATATTGATGTTAGATTTCATTTTATACGTGATATTGTTAGTGCAGGTGATATCAAGTTGATTAAAATTCCATCTGAATTTAATCCTGTTGACATGGGGACTAAATGTCTCTCTGTCGAAAAGTTGTTGTCGTGCAAGCGCACGTTAAACATTGATTGCGGTTAAGTTGCCTGGTGATCTTACCCCTTTGCCTGAATGTGTCTTTGTGATCATTCGGGCAATCCAGCGATGATGAGTCTCAAATTTGTGTTAGAGTTTTGACTCTTAAACCACTATGGTCCAATAAGGTGGACAATGTGTTAGGTATTGTTCCGGTTCTTTCCCTAAGCCCAGTTCATTTGAGATTATCCTTGGCCCATGTCTTTATTCTTTCTTCCGCACCGCTTTCCTTGTGCGTCATTCTCTTCTGCTTCGTGTGAGCCTTCGGTTTCAACCTGTATGGTAAGTTACCATTTTTGAGTTTTGAGCTTAGCCTATTTAATCTCTCTTGTCCGCTGCAATTAGGGTGTGCCGAAACCCTTGCTTCTCTGATTTCCGCCTCTCTGTGGGTGTTCGATTGAACTGGCCGGAAATAGCTTGCTGGCTGACGCCCCTCTCCCCTTGTTGATCCTAGTGTGTGAAATTCATCCTTTGTGGATGAAAGTGGTTGAGACCTGAGCTGGATTCTTCTCCTTACGGTATGTGTGGGGCGCCATCTTCAATTAAAGGCAGACCTAAAAAACGCCACACCTTGGGGTGAGTCAGAAATAAGAGAGTTGTTGATGCAGTGTTATTAGTGAGTAAATGGCCCCCATTTCTTAATTTTTCATTTAAATGATCTTAGAATTAGTAATTTTTCCATGGATGTTAGTGATTTTTTCCTTTACTCGGTGGTGCAGGGGTATAAGTGTAACATAATTGAAAGTGGTGTGTGTTTGCTATCGAGGGCGTGTGACTAGATTTTCTCTCAGAAACAAGGCTATAGATGACATGAGATTCAGTACCACTGAAGTATTCTACGTTAGACAATTAGTTCGTATGAACATAATTGATGTTGATGAGGAATCTGGTTGACTAACAATGTCCTGGCAGCAATCATTATTATGCGTTACAACTAACGTTTCATTTATTCAAGGGCGTTTCCTTTCAGAAATACATGAATGTCAAGCTTCTGGCATGGGACTCCCCAAATCTTGGAATGAGATGGGCTGAGAAGTTTGCTATTGGTAGCATTCTACTGGGAAAAGTTTATGAAATAAAGGAGTTTGGTGCTGTACTCAAATTTAAGAACCATGGACTTCATGGTGATGTTGCTAGATTTATTTCAGAATACCAGTGGTGTGGAACCAATGTGGATCTGGACTTTACTATTCAGGCTACTGTAATTGATGTCTCCAAGATAGAGTACCTCTTTGATATCAGAAATTGTTCGTAAGCAAGCAGTTGCTGTTTTCTGTAATGCAGCACGTTGTGCTTTATCCTCCCCAGATTATGAAGGAATCAAGCTCACTACGAAGAATCTTAGAAACACATCTGTCCTTTTGAAAAGATATACGTGGGGGAGGTTAGCGGATGAATACAGAAATTGTCATTTCAACTGTTCCATCGGCTTGTATAAAAGCTTCAAATTGATTTACCCGGCCGGGTATGTGAAAGAATTTTGTTCTGGTTACGATACCCGCCTTGGTATCTACCCGGGCATGTTATTCTAAGGTGTTACCCGGCAGGGTATAACGGGTGATCCGACCGGGTATGCGAGAAATTTAATTAAGGGCTTAGTTTTTGGGCATGCGGCTCTAATCATTGTTTAGGTTTTCTTAAACCTATTTAATCACATCTTATGTACGTGTAAACCCTGACGCCGACATAATAATAAGGGTTTTTTACAAGAATATTACTAAAATAAAGGGTTTTTTACATATTTATGTAAAAAATGATCAAATTATATTTTTGGTCATATTTATGTAATTATTTCATTTAAAAATGATCAAATTATATTTTAGGCAACATGAATAATTACATAATAATGACCAAAATAAAGATGATTTACAAAAAAGAAATTATATTAAATGGGACTAAAACATGGTTAAAACTCTAAAATAGGACTTCAAGTTTTAAATTGCCTAAATAGGACTAAAGATTACATTTTTACCCCTCATTAACCTAACCCTCTGCAATCGATCGCCAATTTCATCTTCCTCTAAGCCATTCATCTTCCGCGATTCTTTACTCCACCATGGCCGCACTCCGCCATCGATCGTAGCCTCATAACACCATAGCTCTGCCGTCGACGACCTCTGCTGCAATAGCCAAGACAGGTATGTACTCTTCTTCTTCTTCTTCCTCCCCCTCCTCCCCCTCCTCCTCTTCTTCTTCTTCTTCCTAGTTTTCTGCTTTTTTTATTAGTTTTTTATCAATCAAATTTTAAATAAAATTTTGAATTTTGAAAGTTCCAAATGAAGATATATCTGAACATGAATTTTTTGTTATCAATTTTGATTAATTTGATTCTCAAAATGCTCTGACTAATGATTCCAGAAAATGCCACTTTTGAATAGTAGAATGTCATTATTAATGGGTATTTTTAAAAAATGTCACTTTTATGTCATTACGGTATTTGAAAATGTCATATTGAGAATGCCATTTCTCTATACGAAATTGTCATTATTGTGTCATTATGCATATTAAGTGGCATTCTCGCATATGAAGTGTCATTCCTCATGGAGGTATGCATTAACTCAATTCAGAGCAAATCTTTGTTGGAGAGTGATGGCAGCGTACTAGCTGAGTGCTGGCGGTGGTGGCAGACTTCATGGATGGTGGCAGAGGTGCCAATGGTGGAGGCGTCGACTCCAAACATGCGCATACGCACACCTGCGCAACAAGGGGAAGGGGAAACCTGCGCAGAAAGGGGAAGGGGAAACATGCGCAACAGAGACTTGGTGTGCTTAATTTTTTCATTAGGGGTATTTTCGTCAGTTTAGCTCTTTTTAGTCCTATTTTTGTCCAATAAAACATAGTAGTCCTGTTTTTACAATTATACATTCTTTTAGTCTTATTTAGGAAAATCTCTCTTTACAAAAATATGACTAGTGACTAGAGTAGTAATGAAATCATAGTAATTCATGTTCAAGTTTTGAGTTTAAGTTATCACAACACCACATTATAGTAATGAATAGTCATATTTATTAAATATGTTTTGTTTTAGTAATATTCTTGTAAAAAACCCCTTTTAAATATATTCATGGCTTGCAAAAAGCAATAATACACTAAAGTAAGGGAAAATAATAAAAATATTACTTTGATACTTTTGGAAGAAAAATATAACTAGTTTTTTTTTTTAAATTGTAACTAATCTTTATTTAGTTAAAACAATAGTGTTTGTGGTTGCTGCTTGAAATCGTAGTCGCCTGCGACAACTAAAACATGAATAAAATTCATAAATAGGATTGTCAATGTTTTATTCTCAAAATAAGACTCATTCACTCCTATTTTAAGAATTTTTAATCAAATTATTCGTTTAATAGAACCACATAAGTCCTATTTACGGAATAAAATATATTTAGTCCTATTTTTGAATTTTATGTATGTTTTAGTCCTGCATTGAGCAATTTGTAATCATATGTATTGACTGATTCTGCTGAAATTTATGAAGTTCTCGGTGAAGTGGTTGGATTGGAAGATTTTACTAATTTATGAAAAAATTATATTTAAACCATACTCCGTATTATATTAATAAAATAAAGAAAAATTATATGAAAAATAGCTAAAATGATCCGCTACAGTAACATCAGCTGATAGAGCCAGGAAATAACTCCAATCTTACTTTTTCTTATTACTACCTCCGTCCCCCTATGTTTGGAACAAAGAGGTGTAGTGGGATTTTTAAGAAAAAATAGAAATGTGTGATTGGTATTAAATTGATACAGTGTGAAAGAAGTAAGAATGAATTGTAGCCACCCAAATATTACCAAATATGGTATGAGACAAACTTAATGGGACGGACGAAAAAGGTAAAACGGGACAAAGTTAGGGGGACGGAGGGAGTATTACTTTATAAAAAAATGTCAGATTGTCCACATTTGGTAAATTCCACTTTTGGTCCCATGACTATTATACCATTTCCACATTTAGTCCCTTACTTTCAGATTGTCCACATTTAGTTCGTGACCATTATCCCCTCACCACACCTCGTCCTTCCGACCAAAATTCCGACAAATTTAGTCCACTTCTCAGCCTTAAAATCAGTCTTTGCATTAAATTTTGTATCAGGTTGGGTTTTTCATAGTAGTCTTTGCATTAAATTTGGTTTTTCATACCTAAAATCTGCATTAAATTTGCCGGAATTTTGGTCGGAAGGACGACGGGTGGTGAGGGGATAATGGTCACGGACTAAATGTGGACAATCTGAAAGTAAGGGACTAAATGTGGAAGTGGTATAATAGTCATGGGACCAAAAGTGGAATTTTTTCGAAAATGTATTCATCATTTTTATGAATTTTCGTGTGAAAAAATATTCAAAAAAATTTCAAATGTTAATATCAATTAGACAGTGGTAATGCATTTAAGATAATTGTGTTCCAAATGTTAAAAAAACACTAAATGCAATTTTTTAGATATAATTATTATTTTATTTTTAATTTCAAAAAATGTATATTTTTATTTATTTAATCTTCACCTACAGAATGTCAAAAGCAGGAACGAGGCAAATAGGGGTAAATAATATAATTGAAAATTTATTTAATATTTTTTAAAAAAGGATTTCAAGGAAAATTTTACAAATAGGACTAAATCATGATTGACTTCCAAAATTAGGACTGCTGCAACTCGTAGAACTTAATATTAAATGGACTGACAATAATTCCCTCAATTAAAAGTTGAGAGCGGCTCCCCATCGACATGCTTCGCTTTAGTAATTTCCAAAGAATGGTCTGCTAACACCCTGCACTCTTCTTCACATCTTCCAAATCATGTCAGGCTCCCATTCGATATGCTCAATCAGATTCTCCTTCGTGGCGACAGCGAGGAGTCTGTCGAAGCCCGTCTCTGCCCACTCCTCATGCTCTTTGAATCCGCTCGGCGACAAAAGCAGAGGATCTGGAGTCATTTTTCGTCCATTGTAGTCCCCCCGAGCTCCTGATTTGTTCATCATATTACTTGGTGAAGACCTCAAAAAGTTCATAGGAGTTCATTATTCTCTTTCAAGATTACTTTTCCCCTGCCACATATCGCAATTTGTAGGCTTTAAAAGTTTTCTTCATTATTACTTTTCTCGTGCATAAGTACAATACAAATGATTATGAGCATAAAAAGTGTTTTTATGAACATAAAGGTCTATACAGTATACATCTTTTGAAGATAAAATAAATGTATTAATAGAAGCAGCAAGTTTCTTTGGCACCTGTGTGCTCCTACACAATTATAGCTAAAAGACTGTGTGGGTGAATGTTCGTATGGTGAAAAGGAAAAAACACAGATGCAATTCATGTGAAAACCCTAACATGCCTTCTATTTGCCCAATATGTGTCAATTACGAGTATGTGCAATTACTATCTATGTATACTCACTTTTCCCTAATCTATTTCATGCTACTAAAGTTAATTAAGTTATGTATTTGGTTTATTGTCTCTTACAATCAAATTCCTATTAATGCAATTTCATGTATTTGAAAAAGACTAACGAATAGAGAAAGAACTATAGAGTATAGAGAATTGAGCAGGTGGTGATTGTGTAAATTCAATTATAAATCAGTGTGCACTCTTAATTTATATATGTGGCATTATTATATGGGAGGAATGAGTGCATGGCATGATAAACTAGATGAAGCTTTTGCTGAAATTGAGAAGCTACAAATAGAGGATGGGTTATGAAACTTTAGGTTATGAACAGGCTAAAACCACACTATTGTTCAATGCAAAAGTAAAAGTGGCATTGAATGGTGCGCAAAGTCCACAACAGTAGGATGTGTACACCATAAACTTTCAATTCATTTTAAGCGTACGGGTAGAATGCTATAGCAATTAATATGTTGTCATGTTGCAGGTGGAATTGAAGGATATTTATGATAAAATTGCTGAGCTTCTAATGTTTGATAAGGCAGCTACTGAGGTTTCAAAGGATGACATGAAAATGTACCAAGAAAAGATGACAATGGAACCACTTTTGCATCAACAAAAAATAGCTTTACTAAGCAGTTCTTGTCATATATATCATAAATGAGCACGTTTGTGGTGGTTAATATATAATGTGACAATTCAATATGTATTGTTTGCACATCTGTTTCATGTTTGGACATATTTAAGTGGTAAAGTTGTACTGATGAAATTAAATCTTTTATATTAAGACCCATATTAATGTCTATTTTATGCCAAATTGCAGACATTAAATTGTACTTAATGTCACGCATTATTTGAGTTACAAATCAAAATCCAAAATGCAATCACATACATCTTTTATTGTCAAATTATTTAAGAAAGAAATCTTAAAAAAAGGTAATTAAGAAATCAAGTTTTTAGTTATATCATTTAAAGGTAACTTGAATATTTGAAATACAAATAAGATGTGGAAAAATAAATATTGTCTTTTAATAAATTTATAAATCACTTGTTGCTTATATTAATAAACTTCTATTGTACAAAAGGGAGTTCTTCATATATAACTGAATGTCTTGGACAAAAGAGGTAATTATTGAGAAATATTATATCTCGGTAAGACATTAATTAAACAATACAAGTCAATAACTAGACAGTAAGAAGACATCGAACATATAGAGTCATATGTGATAATTAGAAATTGAATGAAATCTTGATCAAAGACGTCAGCTAGTATTTGAAATGGCTAGTATTTATTAAACTTGAGTACAAAGAAAAAAAACATGATCTCCAAACCATTACAACTAGCATGATTTCCAACAAACTATGGTAATTATTATTCGTGAGCAAAACAAAACTAAAGGTCTTGCAAAACTTATTAAATTAAATAAAATGAAAGTGATAGGACATTGTGAATTTAAGAACTATGGACTGAAATATGATTCCTACAATGCTTCTTACTCTGCCCGTCTTTCTTATAATGTGAACACCATTGCCGTTGTCAAGAAGCAAAGCCGCTAGATGAAGGTAACACGTTCTTTTTATGTCTACCGAGTTGGTGTGTGAGGCATGTAGGTGGATTGCACGTTGTGGACTACACATAATCAACAAGGTCCGCTTCAAAGCGAGAACCAATATTGGGGATGTAATCATAATATGATAGTCTTCGATGTTGTCCCACATTGGCAACCCCATGAACACGTATGAACTACTCCATTTGAAACTCACAACATGATCAAGTCTTTTCGTTGAGAATAACAATAACACTTCTAGATGTGAGATCTATATGAGCAAGGGTTTCCTTGAGCATTTTAAAAAACCAAAGCCACATGTCCTTTCATTCAGCGCCACACACACAATGGTAGGGCATTGTATTGTGAGTTTCAGAATCATGGATCTAATATGAATCCAACAATGCTTCGTATTCTAGCTGCCTGTCCTTTTTTACAATGTGAACGTTGTTCCCGTTATCAACAGGTAAAATCTCTAGCTGAAGGTGTACACTTCTTTTCAACAAATGGATTGGGACTACATATAATCAAGAAGGTCCAATTCAAAGCGAGAACCAATATGGGAGATGTAATTTTCACACGATAATCCTCGATGTTGACCTGCATTGCCAACACCATAATGCATACAAACAACTCTTGTTGAAACTAACATGAGTATGTTTGTCTTTGAGTTTCACAACAAAACTTCTAAATGTTTGTCCACCACCTCAAACTCACATTGAATAACACATTTAACCTAAAATAACATACACAACATTTAAAGTACAAAGTGAAGGTAGAGTATGGAAATACACTTTTATAGAAGAATAAAACAACTATATCTATTGTGGATTGATTACGAGGGGCTTTTATTGACATTAAGGGAGCATGTATCAATGTATGACCAAAACCAAACTTGGAATATAAGAGACAGTACATAGATAGTAAGCGGTCAATAATGAACACTAAATTCTGATAATATTATAAAAATAGCAGAGCAGGTAACATAAAACTCAATGTATACAGTTCACTACTTCCAAGTTCCACTGATGAAATTATCCCGAAAGGTCGTCGAGAAACTCTGCAATGAGTCTACATAGGTCATTGCTGATCAAAAGGTTATTTGGCAGAACAATTAAATTACATCCCTAGCTAGGACGTGCATATTATTGGCAAACACCAGCTGATTCATCATCTATGGCCGTTTATGATGCCCTGGAATGCTTTTATTTGATTTTTGAAGATCAAAATGTTGGTGGGGGTGTAGTCAATTGCGCAAGGATAGACTCTGGAGCCGATGTCTGGCAGAAGGCAGCCGATGTATCCATCCAAAACCGACTCGAGCCAACAGAGATGTGAAGTGATTGTGATTGCGACCGCCTTTGGCATAGAGATGAGCGCCGTGGTGAAGCCGCACGCCACCGTCACTCGGTGAAACCATGTCAATTTCAAGCTGCCAGACTCGATGGAGTAATGCTACTGGTGAATGTGCGTGGCCCAGTTGTCGATGAGGCTAGAGCGACGAGGAATTTGGGAAGCTAAAAGCTATTCTATTAATTTTAATATGAAATACTAAAATGAAGGGTAAAAATGGAAAGTAGTAATTGAGTTTCCGGAAATAGAATTAAATTAGTCACATGGATGGAAAAAACATGATCAGGTCCTATTTTTGTAAATTTGCATTGATTTGGTTTTACAAAGAGCAATTTTCTCTAGATTCTTTAAAATAGTACTCGTACCATTTAGAAAAATGTTTGAAGTTGTCATTGGATGTGGGGAGCGGCTGCTATAGTACATTAGTACGTAGTTACAAAGGGAAATGTGTCATAGCTGGTTACATTAAGCATTTTTTGGGGGTGCGCCTAGCAACTCCCTTGTTTTTATTCTAAGAGCATCTTTAATGGCCACGTGAATTGTACCCTGAATGGCCAATGAAGCTGACGTGGACCCAAATTGAATTAAAACTAAATTTCATCTCCAATACAATCGTGGATTCTCATTTCTAGCATTTTATAAATAAAATAAATTATTTATGATTCCTACGCAATACGATCGTATTTTACCGGTAATCCAAACCAATATACAATCGATCATCTCCTAAAATTTCAAAAGGCATAAGTGAATAGATCGATACTTCATATCCCACTAAAAATTCATGTTTCAAGATTTCGATTATGTTAACCAAGCATTCCAGCCCAGCTGGTTGTGAGGTTATCGTGTCTAGTGGGAGGTCTCGAGTTCGAATCCCGCTAGGCACACAAGGGTTGGAAACTCAATGGAACGAGTTTCAACCCTTATTACTCCAGGCCCCCCCTGCCCCCCTCCCCCAGACCCCCTGGA